CTTACCAAACTGTTAAGACAGACGTCGAGCTCCAGCGACCTTAGTTATATCAAAGTATTGGAATGAGAGGGTGTTTGGTTTGGTTTGTCTGTTGTTTAACGCCACACTCAGCTTTATTCCAGCTATATGACGGCGGTCAGTAAATAATCGAGTCCAGACAATCCAGTGATTGACATCATGAGCATCGATCCACGCAATTGGGATACCATAACATACTCAACCAAGTCAGCGAGCCTGACCACCCGATCCCGTTAGTGGCCTCTATAAAGAAGTTGTTATCCATAAATTATCTCTACCTTATCTCAGTCATGTCATGAAGGGTCATCTTGATGTGGAGAAAGATCATTTCAGTAAAGCCTACAAGTACCATGATATCAGCACACTACACATGGATTTCACTGGACTGTATGACGTCTACGACTGGTCCCAAGACTTCGTCACATTAAACTGATACGCCGTGATGTAACAGAAATACTGTTAGCGGGTTAACCCAACTCAACACATCGTCAAGGACTTTGTCAACATACGAACCTAATCATGTTCAATCAGATGCAGTATCCTGACGCCATCGGAACAGAGACCTCAATCATAAAATCCCCGGATTAATGTACGGGAATGTGTGAATTCGGGCACCGTTGTCAAATATTGCATCTTCTAAAGGAGAAGAAACCTTGACTTAACGTCACAGTTGATCTGTTTGCTGCCTAACATGCCACTCTGCCAAGACACTTCATCTCTCGCAGTGATTCAAGCCCTGTCCATAACGCGCTAATTCCACAACCCAAGTCTCGTAACCTTCACGTGCTGTAACGAGATCACGACAATGCCTGAGTCGGGAGTCTGTATCCTAGGCATGCCTGAATACCCAGACCTAGGCATCTAGGCATCCTGGCCACGGGGAAGACCCGAGGGCATTCTGTGAGGAATCTTTGCACTTTCAATGAACACCTTTCTTCGGGTGAATACCGGGAATAGGCTAACGACATGCCGGGCAGCGGTCGGCATGCCACGAGAAGTGTTTTACTGTGTTGTCAGTTGGGTGTTTTTACCGAGATGTATTTATATCGCAATGGATGTTTCTGGTGTGAGCGAGAAGTGCAGAATGGGATTGTGACAGTAATTTGGACACAATGGTCTGAAGTTAACACGACACAGGTGTGAATAAACTGTTTGCTGAATGCATTATCTGACAAGATGTGCACAAGATGACATCAAACATAGAACTGCCAATTCCCATTGTTCTTCATCAAACACCTCCTTTCGGGAGGAGGAGCATTCAAGCAATGCTTCCCGACATGTGTGCATCGAGATGTAACCACACAAAGGACTAGTTATTGTCATTGTGCATATCATGCTTGACGCTGAATCCGCTGGAGGTGGCGGTCGGGTAGCCTAGTGGTTAAAGCGTTCGCTCGTCACGCCGAAGACCCGGGTTCGATTCCCGACATGGGTTCAATGGGTACTGGTGTCCCCCGCGGTCATATTGCTGGAATATTGCTAAAAGCGGCGTAAAACCATACTCACTCACTCACTCACGCACTGAATCCGCTGGCATATTCTTATGAGTGAATTAGTATATATTTTGTACCCCTATACCCCCCCCAAAAAAAACAACAACAAAAATTAAAAAAATATATATATAAATACCCCCTTATTTCTTTTAACTCCGGACAAATGACAGTTTGGATTATTATCCCTGAATTACTGATAAAATATTCGCTTCATTGTTATTTTTGAACTATTGAATATAAGTTACGTTTTTTTGTTCTATAATATTGTGTCTCTTTAATCAGGACATACCACCTCTTGATCCTATACTACGTACACGGGCGGTCGGGTAGCCTAGTGGTTAAAGCGTTCGCTCGTCACGCCGAAGACCCGGGTTCGATTCCCGACATGGGTACAATGTGTGAAGCCCATTTCTGGTGTCCCCCGCGGTCATATTGCCGGAATATTGCTAAAAGCGGCGTAAAACCTCACTCACTCACTCACTCACTCACTCACGAACGAACGAACGAACGAACGAACGAACGAACGAACGAACGAACGACACTGTCATATCCAAATACCATCACTTTCAAGAATATCGCATTTCACTCCCTATATTATCAGCAATAAGAGTTGAAGTTATAAGAACATAAGTAGAATTATAACAATAGACAAGCTCTGGCAAGAAGACATGTGTATGAAATCGCAAATAATGATCCCTGAGTTAATGTTCATCGTTATTGTGTTGTTAACACATGTCAAACAATCATCTGTGGGACTCTCAGTACAATATAGCATACCTACACGTATAAAGAAGGTTATCTCTGTTTTGATGTTGTTTTAAATACTTAATAACAGCAGACAAAAACACTCAAATTTACTTCTTATAACATTTTTCAGTGTTTTTCTCAGTCGAAAGTTTGAGCTTCAAAAAATGACATGGATCCAGAGAGAAGGCCTTGGAGCGCTCACCTGACTTTATCAACCAGGTATAAACAAACACGTGGATTCCCACCTTGTGTATTAAGATTTGCGGCTGAAATCCAACTATATGGCCAAATTTTCAATGTGCGTGCATGGAGGACAGCCCTAACACTGAGCCTGTCATATATCAAACACAACTTGCAACATCCATGCTATGCGCCCGGGTTTGTATTGTAGATTTACAAAGGGATCAACTTAAACCCGTGTTTATGCTGTGGTTAGTTCTGTCGCCCCAGCCCTTTTTCGGGGGCACACGTGGTGGTCGCTGTTTAGCCATAGGCAACCTTTGTTTATGCAGGGTTTTTCATAATGCTGTATGATATCTATGATAAACTGCACGCTTTTGAACCAACAACATTGTGACCTATTCAGCATGTTGTTCCGTCGGTGCAGGGATCACCCACGTTTGAAGAAGCTACATTCCACGGGTTAAACTTACGCACTTGTAAGAAAAAAGGTCTTTACAATTATCACGAACGATAAGCGAATATCAAATACTATTTTAAACAGCCGTGTATTATTTGACAAAAAGATTTGAGATTTTGTTACCCCGCCAAGGGATACTGGACGCTGACATTAGCGTTCCCGCTACATGTCCAGATATAAACATTGGTAATATAAACATATGCTATTGTTGGATCATGTTGTAGTATATCTGGATTGTGTTGGTTTGCACCGTGGAAAGCAGGTCTGGAGGAGGGAGTCATCGGGCTGCTCGCATGGAGTTTGGTAGAGTACAATCAATATTAACATCACCCCGGCCGACATAGTATGTTGGCTTGTTTTGGAGTTTAATCTGCTCACATTTCGTACATGACCTCATGAAATCTGATATGTCATACACATAGTGGCCTCTACGTAGCGTCATGTCTTCTGTTTTTATACGTTTATCACAGATTGGATAATATCAAGTTTTGTTATATATTCTGTTTTTGCTTGACATTTCTTTAAATGATCCAAATGTTAAACTTCGTCATAAACATGTTGTTTGATCGTTAATTGTTTAACGCCACATATTTTAGCGACATTACTACAGTCTGTATATATTTAAATCTGGACCAGACATTCCAGTGATAGATATTATGACCAACGATACACGCCATCGGGGTACGACTACGCGCAATCAAACAAGTTGATCAAATCTGACCACCTGATACATGTTCTCGCCTCTTGAAACTAAATCGTCCCAGACAATACCAGAAAATTAATTATGCTTCAGACTTTAAAAAAAGAAAGAAATTGTCTGCTACAAAGAACACTGCTGCAAGGCTGAAATTTCATTTGAAAAAATATCTGCTTTTTCATCTGAAGCTGAAGAAATATCCAGTCTCAATACAAAAAATCCCTACCCCACTCAGGTAACTATGGAAGCGAAATATGGGCCCGTGTCCTTTACTACCACTTCGGGGTCTCTTGGATGTTGGGTACTTAGGGCTGTGTGGCTCGTACAGAGGTGTTTATATGTTGTGCGAAAATGCTGCTTGATCAACAATTTAGCCTCGGGAAGTGTCCTAAAGACGGCGGATAACCTTATATACCCGTGGACTGTGATGGTTCTGGTCATGTGGGAGGATGCCATCTACTTCAACCTTACATTTCTGTCATACGTCAATCAATGTATTTCAACGAATCATCACTAAAGCTACTGGTATATCTGAATTTGTACTGCACGGGAGGACCTAAATCCATTGTAAATGTCAGCACATGTTAGTCTTGCTATTACAACTGCGTTGGTGCAGACTGAAGAGGGGTATATCATATCGGTCTGTTGACCAATACCGGTTTGGGTCTAGACGTGATGAACAGTGACTTTGTGCTGTGTAATTTGGCAAATGATTACATCAGACATCAGATCATAAGATCGATACGATGCAGTGAAGCGAGTGTCGGAATGTTGTTTAAAGCCGAAGTCGGAAATATTATAGTTACATCACGGCGCGCTGGGACAATAATCTTGTCTGGACCTGACAAACCAGTGGTTGATATAACGAGCATCGCCCTACACTGTTGGGGTACGAAGACAAACGATTGGAATAACTTGAAATTACATGCAAGGAATTTCAGTTGGCTCGAGCCTCTCTCTTTAACAACAACAACAACGACGACGACGACGACGACGACGATGATGATGATGATGATGATGATGATGATGATGGTGATGATGATAAAGGCAAAATTAACATTTCCGTAATCATACAAAATCTCTATACCATAAGCATGTGTTTATGAATCACTGTCAAATACATATAGTGTGATACCAGATGTTCGCGAAAAGGTGAGCGTATCCTGACCCACTGATGGTACTGTCATCAACACATGCTTGTTTTGAAAACAGTGTCAAAAAGTCAATGGAATTCTGCACCTTTTAGTTAATCGCAGTGATGGAGGTGGAGGAATACTGACCAGCGAAATATGTACAGGACAACGGTGTCTAGATCCCTGGGTGTGCATTAATTGTAATCAACATCATTCATGGCTTACACGTAGAGAATATAAACACAACGTATATGGTGAATAAATCTACTTACCTCCAAGCTTAACACTATCACTGATGGCTGAGCTGAGAATACGGACTGCGCGTTCCTTGGATCCACAGGTGTCGTATACAGAAATACCTGTAATCAACAGGTGACAGGTGAGACACGTGGTGTGAATCGTCATTACAATAGTCAAGTTAATTTCTTCAGTGCAGCTTTTGTCGTTGCCATGAACTATAACCATGACAGAAACATATTATTTTGTTTCTTACATTTTGAATTCGTACTGGTGACCATTTAAGTTAATGTTTATCATAAGCTATGAAGATTTTCATAATAAGACGAATTTATCTGTGTTATCCAATGTGTGATTCATGTCATAACATGATAATGTTGTCGATAATTCAGAGTTTGAATCAAAGTGCTTTGTCGTGTATCAGTAGGATTGTGTCATTTACAAAAATCGATGTATAAAGATAATATTGTTGTACTGGGATAAATTGGTTTTTTTTAAAAACACAATGTACACGTAACGTGTTTCACAGTGCAATACAACGAAAATGTTAAAAACATATGCTTTTTCATATTACTTATATTAAACTACAGAAAAGATAACTAAACGCAGGTGAAAAAAAGTGACAATGAAGTACACTTACCAACTGCTTGTGACCCAGTCTGTTTTATCATTTTATCCAACTTCCACAACGAAACGAAAGCCATTTGCAGAACGTATGGGTTCGGGGTATTACATATGTTATGCTCTGTATCCGAAGTCGTGCGATGTAAATCCAAGAGACAGACAATTTTCACAGAGCCAGGCGTCGCCATTACTGGCTGATGATAAATATTTCCTCTACAAGTATGTACGTATATCAAACACATCACAAAAAGCACCGAAACTCCTCTTGTAGAAATCATATTGATGCAAGTTGTCATCACGTGTGATCATCCACGCGATCAGTCATTAACGTCTGCTGATGGGAGAAATCACGTCTGCTGCTGGTGTCGTCTGCTCGTCGTCTGCGGGGAGAAAGCCTCGACCGGGGCTGTGCTCGTCACTGCTGCGTCCCTTAGATCAACATCGCTCACCGCGCTCAAGTAATTGTCATGCACACAACATATCAACAACGATGTTTGGTAGTCTGGAAAGGCAAAGAAACGACAACAAATTAATTCAAACGGCTCAAAACAACAGCCAATTGACAAGCCAAACTGTTAAGAAATCAATGAGAGGGCATTATTGTTGCCATTCATCCATCGTTATGATACAATCGCAAACTGACATGGTGAAAGTGCGCCAAACATTTTACCTCTCTGACGTCACAACCATTGTGATTGCCGGGGATGGGAGACTATCCAATAGACATCCCTTAAGTTCCAGTAATTCCGGTCAACAGACCACATAGTGGGCATAATAATCCTTGTTTTCTGTGTGTGCTTCGGACAGTGTATACTAGTTTTGTCATTTCTGCTAATTGCAACGTTTGGTTGTCCGTGACATTTTGAAGACTATATATGGTCGTTGACATTCTGGGTCGACAATAAACATACAATTAGGCACATAAGGATACCGCCCAGTTCGTGATTGATGTAGCATTTGCGCTAACCTACAGATAATTGCAATGACTTCATCAATTCATGTTCGTTTTGTCGTTGAGAATGAAACTGATTACCCATGTGAAAATATCTGCGTTGTTAAATGACGCTGTGCTAATGATTCATATCACACTTGTTCTTTGAAGAATACACATGCTCAATGAACGTTACATCAGGTCACCTTATATGTCATATAGTACTAGTGAATGGGTTAACATTTTAGTGGGCGTGAGTGAGTGAGTATGGTTTTACAGCGCTTTTAGTTATATCCCAGCAATATCACGGCGGGGGACACCAGAAATGGGCTTCACACATTGTACCCATGTCGGGAATCGAACCTGGGTGTTCGGCGTGACGAGCGAAAGCTTTAACCACCAGACTACCCGTCCGCCCCCCCCCCCCCCCCCCCCCCCCCCAGTGGGCGTGAACATTGCTGGGGGCATGAAACTACTACTGCTGCTACTACTACTACTACTGCTACTGCTGCTACCACCACAACCACTACCACTACCACTACTGCTGCTACCACCACCACCACCGCTACTACTATTGCTACTACTACTGCTACTACCACGACCAACACCACCACTACTACTGTTACTACTTCTGCTGCTGCTACTACAACTACTGCTACAACTACTGCCACTACTACCACTACCAACACTACCACCACTACTACTGCTTCCACTTCTGCCGCTACTACTGATGCTACTACTACAACAACTACTACTGCTGCTGCTGCTGCTGCTGCTGCTGATACCCATGTAGATCCGGTGTAGAATTGGTCTTCAGCAACCCACGCTTGTCGTAAGAGGTGACTAACGGGAAAGGGCGGTCAGGCTCAGTGACTCGATTGGTGCTTGGCGTTTTATCCCAAATGATTCGATCAATGTCTATAATGTCATTACTGGAGGGTCTGGACCAGACTCGATTACTCGATCGCCGCCATATAGTTGGAATTGCGCCGAGTACGGCGTTAAACAACTAACAAGCTACTACACATATTAGTACTACTACTACTACTACTACTACTACTACTGACCCGTGAAGATTCCGGGGTAGAATAGGTCTTCAGCAACCCATAATTGCCGTAAAAGGCGACTATGTTTGTCGTAAAAGGCGACTAACGGGATCGGGAGGTCAGGCTCGCTGACTTGGTTGATACATGTCATTAATCCCAATTGCGTGGATCGATGTTCATGATGTCAATCACTGGATTGTCTGGTCCAGACTCGATTAATTTACAGACCGCCGTCATATAGCTGGTATATTGCTGAGTGTGGCGTTAAACAACAAACAAACAAACAAACAAACAAACAAACAAACTACTACTACTACTACTACTACTACCACTAGGCAGTAATATACGTCGTTTATACAGGAAGTACAACGTGGAAAGTGTAAACTTCTGGATAGAAACAAAGGTATTATTTGACAACAGGTAACTCGTTCGTACTTTCGGCAGCATTACTCAAAGAAAAGCAGGTTATTATTGTTGAGACGATGTTGTCATGCCATGTCACGTCATGTTGCGACATTATGTCATTATAAGTGGTACGCCTGGCACCGTGGTTTAAGGTGCCTCAAATAGTTGTGCAAAATCATGCCCCTTAGCCCTGATCATGTGCTCCAAGAGTTTTATTAATATCTAAATAATTTATTTTGGAATAATCAGGTCTTAGTTGTTTTTTCGTTGAAAACAGTCGTAATTCACAGCAATATTAAATACGTACATACAAACTACAAACCTAAACGTAAATAGACATTGTGTCGATAGTATGCGCACACATGATTTAACATTATTTATAACATTTCGTCTTCATGTTTATGCTGCTGGCAAGAATACAACAAATGTCTTTCGTCAACAAGCAGACTTCTGCAATAAGACTTGACACACATCTTCATATCAGACCGAACGTCTTGTAATTCTTGCGTAATTAGACCTGCCCGAAGCCTAATCCTCGCGTAGCCGACTTGATAGGTGTTGATATCCAAGGAAACGTGTATCCCCCCAGATAACGGTAATCGCAGCGTACCTCCTTGCCAAACCCCCACAGCTACTGCTACCGGGATTGGGCTGCCAGCGTAGATCACCAAAGATTACAGGTTCATCAAGCGGCCTTTACCACAAATACTGCCCATCTAAAAACCCTCGACATAACCCCACCGACTGTAGTAATCAGTGTAGAACAAAACAAACATATAGTCCTGTTTGTTTGGGGCAGGAAAAGACGGCCGACATTTGGTGAGATGAGACAGGTTAAAATAAATTCTCGCGGTAGGCCATCAAATTTGAACTAGGATTCATCTTGGCGCACGCTCTATTTGTTGAAAAAGCCAAGGAAACGATGAGGCTAAAAACATGAAAACACAGGGAAACGTGCTTCCGGTGAGAAGGAGAAAAGAGGTGGACGGACAGCACCATAATACCCCACGGTAAGGAGGACCACGGGCAGTACGTACGGTCAGGGAGGCCTTCAGGACCAGTTCCTGTGCCAATTGGGCGAGGGGGGACTCAGCGTTTCCTGGTTGGAGACAATTACATTATTGACAGTAATGAGTGAATGTGGACTGAATTTAAAGTACAGGCGGCTTTTGTAATTGTTGATTGAGATTTGTGCGTGAAATCGGTGGACCTCAGAATTACAGCTTTATAGAGGGTATCTTCTTTATAGTGAAGACACTTTGACTTCCTCATACCAACGAAGATAAACTTTAAAGCACTGATACAGATTAACTACAGATTTGGGACAGGTTGAAATGTAAACTTATTTTTTCTCAAAGCCATGTTTGATTGTAGTATCTTACGATTTGTCAACATTGATTTCCGAGTTTTATTGAAAACATTTCTCGGTAAATTGACGTATGGCAGGCCAGTTGCCTTTGGTCTTAAGCTTACCTTGAAGTTCACAGCTTAACAACTGAAAATGCAGAAGGATGTTTTGAAGAAAACCGCGTGGTTGTTGTGTTCCTTTCTTATATAGAGTTTTGTAGTTTGAGGACAGCGATGATGGTTTCGGTTGTAATTTGAATAATTTAATGCATTTGCTTTGATATAATTGAAAAAAATTATGCAATAATCAAGGTATACAAAAGGAAGCGACGTTATAACATTGAAAATGAGAAACAAGGAATGAACGTGATGGCGAATGAAAAATCATTTGGCGTGAATATAATTATTTATCAATTATTTCTTATTTAAAACCTGAACGCATTGTCATTACATTGAATTTCGAATATTAAACACTATTAAAATTACTAACTACAACTACAACATCCGAATAAAATACAAACACTTGACTTAATTTTTATAGATAGACATAAACTACATGCATATTTCACTATTATTTGTATCCGAACACAACTATCACAAAATAACAGACGCAATATTGGCATGACGAAAACAGACACTTGAACATAGGGCCAAAGGAACAAGATGTATCGATGGCCATGTGAGCTGAATTGCTAATACTTTTCTATTCCTGTTAAGAATAATTAGCATAGAGCATTCTGGCTATTTTACAAGACTATTTTCTGTCTAATTGTTAACATGACTCTTTGGATCAACATTGGCACTTGTGAAGAAAGTTCAGCTACATCCGTCCAAAAACTCATAAGTGATAGTTTTAGCTGGATGCAGGTGTTCTTTAGAAATACCCCCAATACGTCGTTGTTGACATGAACGTGTGTCGTCAACTAACTGCGAAATCTTTACAAAAGTCTTTTTTTCATATTTTTTAATGTACTGAAGTAAAAGTCAACGAACCGCTGGCTCGAAGTCAACGTTTGATTGACTGTCAACGTTGTAAAGTCGTCTCCCAATATGGTGTGGCTCAACTAAGGGCTCATTAAAAGATAACCAGATTATGCGATGTTCGGGAGTTTTAAGAGAAATTGGTATCTTCATCGTTACGTTATTATTTCTGGGAGCACGTAATCAAAATAACAATGCACACTTTATGTTGACCGTTGCGTCACTGACGGCCATGTGATAATCTTATACACCAGTTAGCTCGTCGTGAGTCAATATTAAACTCAATTATTGAAACTTGCTATACAAAAACACCAAAAACACACATTAACCTTTTATAATGTCAGTCGATATCGCACTTTAGAGTATAAACTAGAAATAAACACGCTTTTTGCAAAGAAGCAATTCCTAGAACGGGTTGTCTGGGAATGTATTTGAATGAGAAGATTGCGTGTTTTCAATCGGTGGTTACATGCTTATTTGAAAATATTGATGGAGAAAGTTTCGAAATTCCATAGCTAAAATGTTTTTTAAGATGTGATTCGCAAGGACAAGTGTAGCGTGTGCAGAATATCATAAACACCATGTAACTAGCTCATGCGTCAGAAAATTCGAAAACACAAAAAGGGATATTTAAAAAATGCGAGAGCATTTGATTATCAAATATTGAATGGTGAGAGAAACGTCCCAAGAAAATAGCAAAACACACAGCAACACTGACGTGATTGTTGCTTGTCAATTTAGGTAGGTTGGCGGTGTGGGGATAAAAATGAATATATGAAAAAGATCCATCAG